AAGGGATCTTACCGCGGAGACAAAACACCGTCCACTGAAAATGACATCATCTGGAACCAGCTGGGGACAAACAAACTCCACCTGTAAAAAGACTGCATGAGAGTTACCCACCGGAAGTGAAAAGGACAACATAAAAGGACGATACATTCAGTAATCAACCCCTGGAAGGGGATTGCAGAGCAAAGATCATTGAAGGCAGTTGAAGCAGCTAATCTGGAGGCATGGGAATGTTATTTGTTTCTGGGTTTTCTTGTGCGTATGTTGAAAAAGGGAAAGGCCATCTAGCTAACTATAGACTAGAGCCCACCTTGAAAGACCATTTTTTGTCTGCTTATCTATTTATTTCTCCCATCAAAGGCATGGCAGGAGAGTAAGCAGTGAAGACTGTTTTATTTATCTGGCCCCTGCAAGACACACTGACACTTGCAGCCTGTGCTCAGAAAGAGTCTGACTGGGAGAGAAGCATGACACAACATGATTTGCAGCAGAGGAAGCATCAGGGAAGGGCCCTGGAAACCTGTCTTCATCAGTCTCCTCTCTGGATTTCATACTGGCTGCAAGATCCACCCCAGGCATCTCCTGCCCCTGTCTGATCCGTCTCCTCCACTCCCCTGTAGTCTCTCCTCCTTCCCTGCTCTCCACCTACACTTCTCCCAGGGCATCAGACAACATAGCTTCACAATCAGAAGGGTTACACACCTGCCCAAAGTGCCTCAAGGTGGATCCTAAAGAAACAGCCAGGGGACAGGGCCCACCTCCCTGAGGGATGGAGATGTCCACACATCAGATTCGCCCCAGGTGCCTCTGTAGACTCCTCTGTCTCCCAAATAAGCAATTTGCAGAAAGGTCAAGCAGTTCAGGAGAACACTTCCTGTTAGAAGTAGTTCAGGGATGTAGAAACCCAACAGCCATGGTTTTCCAGGGAGAGACAGGCTCCTCCAACTCTAGTGTGCAAGATCACAGAAGCAAAAAAATGGAGTGGATCCGCCACCAGACAACTCCTCTAGCTCCTTCAACCCCAGGCCTGGTGGCTTGTTCTGGCCAAAACAGAACAAGGACCAGACCAACCACAAGGGAATAAGTCTGAGTTATTTAAAAGAATAGGGATATGCAAATATGGCAGCCTGCCCCTGTATAAGTCTCTCTATGCCCATCCACAACCATAACTTATCACCCTGCAACTTCTGTGGAGTTTCCAACCCACCTTCCTGAGGAAGTGAGGACTAATCATAGGGAAGAGGACTCTGTAGCTCCATGTAATTCTCAATTCAGCATTTCAGGGGGGTATCATGTCCCTGATCAATTCAGTACAGGGGGGTGGCAGGTGGTGGTAAAGAGGGAAACTATTCAAGACCTTTCTGTGGCCCAGGCCCATCTTCCACTGATAAAAGGGGAGTCTGAATATTGGCACCACCCTCTTCACATCTTCCTTTTCTCTCCCCGCCTCAGGGGACTGGTCCCAAGTGATTATGACTCAATCAGGTCCAGAAGTGAAGAGACCTGAAGAATCCACTACGTTGAGATGTGCTATGAGCAGATTCGATGTGAATCACTGCTGGATGGCATGGATCAAGCAGAGCCCAGGGAAGGGGCTGCAGTGGGGCAGGGACCCCTGGCTGGCAGTGACTGGCCTTCTCACCATCCACTGTTTCAAGGCAGCCAATGCCAAGGCTACATGCTATGGTTCATGAGGCTGCAGTTTGGTCCTTTAATTCCCAGGTCCTTATTACTTGTTCCCAGTTCCTTTTTCAAAGCTAATTTATACCCAATAAAAAAGCTTCTTATTAATGAATTACACATTCTAAAGAGAGAGAATTTCATTAGCTATGGATATTTAACAAATAATATGTAACTTAATACCCTGCATCCTCCATGCCTGTGTACCACCAGGAGACTCTCCTGGACACCTCTGACCACAGTCTTGTGCAGCCCAAAGCATGGCCTGATTGACAGCCCTCATGCAGACTGTAATATGTATATGGGTTTTAATAAGGAATTTATTTTGGGCTGGGATTAGAGATGGAGATCCTCCTTAGCCCCCCGCCTTCCCCCCAACTCTGTGCCACTAGGAGACTCTCCAAGACATCTCTGACTAGAGTTTTGCCTGGCCCAAAGTGCTGTTTGTTCATGCCAGGCTGCCAACTCACAGCTCCCCCATGCACACTATACTAATTATATGGGCTTGAAATGTGGGGGATGACAACTGGAAATCCTTCCTGGGCCAGCCCACATGATCAGGGGTGTCCAGGACAGTCTCCAGTGCCAGAGGCATGGCATGGGGTGTCATGGATACTTGTAACAGTGTATGGGGAGGCCTGAGAGATACCCCAGAGCTGGGTGCAACAGCCACACATAACATTTAATCACAGCCCTCACCATACACTGTTATAAGTGGCCGTTACAGTCCAGAGCTGGGCACACCTGGGTCAGTCCTGGGTTGAGACAGGTGTGTCCGGAGAGATGAGGAGACAGTACCATGGTCTTCTACTGTGGTCGGTATCAGTGGGAGCTGTCCTGGCAGTGAGGGAACTGCCTTGGTGACCAGTGGGGTCACCCTAAAACCAGCACAGCTGACAAATGAGGTGTGAAACCACTTGTGCACCCCAGTGGGCTGTGTGGTGCCAAAGGGTGGCAAAGAGTGTGGGGACAGTGCTGGCATGGGCAGCTTCCCTGTCACCAGGCAAGTTGGCAACTCCATTAATCCCCAAAGTCTGTGAGGGAGCAAGAGTGCCTATCCTGGATAGAACCCTGTTTTGGGGCTTTAAAATAGGCACTGTCAAAAAGATGGGGGAGAAGAGAGACAAGCAAGTCTGGAGAAAGATCAAGGTTGGCAATGATGGTTTGGTGGCCAGCCAGGGAAGGGTGCACCCCTAAACTTCCTGTCCCTGCTAATAGGGGACTGTCCCAAAGAACCCGGACCACAGTCCTGCCTGGCCCAAAGCGCAGTTTGTGCATGCCAGCCTGCCACATGACAGTCCCACTGTGCCTACTGTACTAAATATATGTGCTCGAATAAGGAACCGGCTTTTGGGCTGAGATTACAGATTGCAATCCTTTCTGAACCATCTGATGCCACCAAGGGACTCTCCTGGACATTCCTGACCAGAGTCTTGCCTGGCCCAAAACACAGCTTGGCCATACCAAGCTGCCAACTGACAGCCCCCCAACCACAGTGCTAAGTATATGGACCTAAATAAGGAACTGGATTTTGGGCTTGGAGAAATCCTTTTTGGGCCAACCCATGGCATACCTCTGTGGCACCAGGTGACTCCCATGGATATCTCTGGACAGAGTCTTGCCCAGCCCAAAGTGCTGTTTGTGTGTGCCAGGCTGCCAACTGACAGTCCCCCTATGACCACTGTACTAAGTATACAGGCTCAAACAAGGAATTTCTTTGGGCTGGGATTAGAAATGGAAATTATTCTCCTCACCCAACTGCACCAGCACACACAGACCCCATCTCCTTCCTGCCAGAGGGGCAGCACCACACACCCCAGTGTGTTTCCACCCCCTAAACACCCGCTGCCCCAGTCCCCATGAAGGCTGTGGTCCACAGCAGAGCCAGGCTGGCACTGGCTCTAGAACAAAAACCCAGAGAAAGAGATGAAGGGCAGAGACCCCCTGAGCGCCCAGATCAGAGCACTAGTCACAAAGCATCCTGCACTGCTGAACTCCCAGCAAATTAATATGATTAATTAATAATGAGCAAATTAATAAGAAGCGAGCAGGACACCAAGGCTCAGACTACAGTGACCTGGAAACAGGAGTCCCTCTCTGCTGGGAAGAGCATACCTATCAGTGAAATTCAGGATGTGGAAGATGTCACATGAAGACAGTGTAGTGCTTGCCTTGTCTCCTTCTGGTAACAGTGGGGTAGTCAGGGGAAGCATCACAGACAGGATGCAGGCAGCACATGCACAGAGCATCAACACAGAGAGAGGCCAATGAGTGGTAATGCATGAACCCCTAATACGCTAATAGTATACTCAGATAGCAACATGGGCAGAGCCTGCCCAGACAATGTTGGTCCTAAAGAGCTAAACAGACCAAGGCAGCTGCCAGCATCAGTCAGGCCTCCCCCCTCACTTCTACCCCACCCACCACAGCTGCTTTGAGAAGATAATACACAACTCACTGCACCCCTAACACCTACCTGTGCCCAGCACTGATATCTCAGTAAAAATAGAGCCCAGCTGGGAAACAACCTTAACCCCAGCGAGTGACTGACTGCAACACAAACAGAAACCCCTGGCCCATAGCCCTTGGCTGTCACCCACTCTCCCCCATGGACACCAAGAACAAGGGTCAGCAGCACTCACAGCCTGTGCATGCAAAGGGTCTGGAATGGAGGGAAATATCCCCAGTCCCTGTGTCGGCCTCTTGAGTATGGACTAATAAACCTAATGATTAGTGCACAGAGTCAGAAACAGGCCCCAGCAACATCTTGAACAACATAACTTAATAAGCATGAACCAGACCGTATATGGCTTTAGTGTTACTGCTTGGAGGTATTAGGTGCAACTAGCACTGCCCACAACAGGTCCCCTCAGGCCTCCATCCTCTGGCCAAGCTCCACCAAGTGTACAGTGTCCCTGCAGGCTCTTAGCAGGACCAGCCCCAACTCTCTGCTCCTCTGCAACCCACAGTGGGTACTGGGCATCCTCCTTCTGACCTCAGGCTGCAGCACTCTGCCAGAGATGGGGGCAGTCCCTTCAGTAAAGGGGTCATCAAGACTCTGAGGCCTGGCATTGGAGTTGCCCAGACATGCAGGATAAGAGGGCCAGTGCCTGTTGTCTGTGCACAGCTCATGGCACGTCTGACACCCTGGAGGGGACAAGACACAGAACAGAGTCACTGTCACCACCCAGCGCAGCCCTTCCTTGCACAACGGAACTTCACCCCAAGGGAAAGCAGCAGAGGCTGAGATAAGGCAGAGGAGATGCAAATCAGGGGCAGGCTGCCCTGGATAAATTGCTCTGCCCTGCTGCGCAAGCAGAGCCTGCACAGACAATCCACAGTCCTACAGGGGAGAACAACCAACACCTGAGAGTTTTCCCCAGCACCAGGCAAGATGGGACTTGGGCTCCATCTCTTTATCCTGGCACTTGCTCTGAAAGGTATTTCATCCTCCCATGCTTTGGGAAGGGAAAAAGTTTCCTGCATGGTTGCTATTTGGATTCTAACCACTCTTCTATCCTACCTTGGTTTTCAGATGCCTGGTGTGAGATCCAGCTGGTGGAGTCTGGAGGGGATGTGAGGAAACCTGGCGCATCTCTGCACCTCTCCTGCAAGGGTTCTGGGTACACCTTCAGTAGCCACCAAATGGTCTGGGTCCGACAGGCCCCTGGAAAAGGGTTGGAGTGGATTGCCTTTATTGATGTCACCACCATATATTATGCTGACTCCGTGAAAGGGCGATTCACCATCTCCAGGGACAATCCCAGCAGCCTGCTGCACCTGCAGATGAACAGCCTGAAGCCTGAGGATACAGCCCTGTACTACTGTGCAAGAACACACAATGAGACAAAGCCTGTTACTACCAATACACAAACCCCAGGATTGCATCTCTAGTCCCTGCCTGCTGCACGGGGGGCAGCACTTACTCAGTAATGGAAACCTAGGCACAAGAAAAGGAGCAGCTGTTAAGATCACAGCTCTCAGGATTGGCTTTGTCACACAACAGGCACCGATTATTTCTGGTTAGAGAATGGGACCCTTCAGTGTCCACACAGCTGAAGGGCCTTGTGGACCGAAAGCAGGGAAAGCTCTGTGGCGGGCCAGTAGGGGGCGCTCCTGCGTTGAGCCGCCCATCTCCCTGCACCGACCACCTTCCAGGCTCCGAGTGCCTCCCTTGGGGTGCCTCCCGTCCGGCCGACCCCCTCCCTGGAGCACACCCGCTAGCCTGGGGTTCCCA